TTTTCTAATTTGTTGAGATAGTGAATTGATTGGTTTTTGTTAAATGTGAGCCAAAATTATCACAATTAAAAGAACCAAAGACTTAAATTACTTCAGTCTGTGTGCACTGAATTTATTTAATACACGAGTTTCACAATTTGAGTTGAATTACTGAAATAAATGAACTTTTCCACGGCATTCTAATTTATTGAGATGCACCTGTACATCCAGCCGGTTGTTATCTCAGAATAAACTCCGACAGGGTGATCAGGACCCCGACGCGATGCGAACCATTATTCCATGGTCTGTCTGAATACTGGATTCTGATTGGCTGGTGGGTATGCAGTAAAACCTTTTAATGCACAGGTAGTTAGTTCCAAGTCAGTTTAATCAACGTTCCATATTAATGCGCTAATTTAATTGCATCACTGGCACACACACACACACACACACACACACACGCAGGTACACACAACTGTTTTTTTTCTCTCTCTCTCTCTCTCTCTCTCTCTCGATCGATCGATAATTAATTGAATATAATTCGTTCAAATAAATGTGATCTTAGCGCACTATTTCATCTCTGTGTCTGATTTGAAGCGGGCAGAATGCTAGAACAGCGGCGGGCGGTTCTTTGCCTCCACGTCGTGCATTTAAAATCCTTTAAAGCACGGCTAGCCGTTGATTATCCCTTACTTATATAAAAACAACGAGGCGATTGGTTAATTAATAATAATCATATGGTTTCATTGAATAACACTGTTAAAATACATAATGTAATACAAAATAAACTATTTACATTATTACAAATGGCTGCAAAGGGCACCAAAGGCCTGATAATTGCTGTTGTTACACTTACAGGGATCAAATCCTTGTTTAATATTGACCAAACATTTAATTCAAATATCCACTTAATTTTTAATTTTCGGCCACCTTTTTGCGATAGAAATGCTACAGCCTCTTTAATTTCTTCAACAAAAACATGTGGACATCACAACTCTTACCAAAATTAACCATGGTTATCGTAGTAAAACTGCTTAATTTTATTTTGTGTGATTTCTGAATGCTTGAGACCATATAAATCAATCAGACAACTGTATTAATAAAATCATAGCCATAGTTAACTGTCTAGGGCTACAATTGTCATTTATAAATAATACAATTTAATTACAATTTATTTATTGACTTTTATATTTTATTAAAGTTCTATTTTGACCCCTTATAGTAGGTTTTTGTTGTTGTTGTTGTTGTTTTTAGGACAACAATCCTACACAATCCTGCACAACAATACTATTCTGCTTAGGGCACCCATGTGGCCAGCAGCGGCCCTGGCTTATTATTTCGTGAGTGCCGAAGGTCCAGAGAACGAAGAACGAAGGGTTGGTTCAACTCACCTAACTGACTCCAGCTCGTCGATTTCTTCCCCGCTGCTCCGTGTTGAACTGACACTCATGGTTTGATCTCCAGTGACTGAAGCAGATTCTCAGAGGCAGCGGCTCGCGGGGTCGCTGTCAGTCAGTCAGCACTAATGTCAGTTCAGGTCGAAGTGAAACCGTTGCGCACGTACAGCTGATAATTATGCTACAACCGAAAGCGACAGCACAGGGAAGTCGAATAGATCCTCCCACAGATGAATGTCGTAATAATTTACGGGAACCAAATGCTGATTTGCACTTGTTGTATGAGACAAGACTGGCCACATTTAAACCAGCTCCAGCACACGCGAACGACGCACAAAATTAAAGTCGTGACAAAACTCGTTCAGCAAGAAATTTAATTAACTTAGGCAATAAGGTGCGTGTGAATTTAGTCATTATATGGCTGAAATGTTAGGCACGATGGTTACAAACTGTTTTTATACAGTCTATGGTTACAACATATTAAGGACACAATAGTATAAGGACACAAAATTTCATTAAACCGTGATTTCATTAAGCATAATTAAGAGGTAGCTACTGTATTCTTCCGCTAGACGTGCTAATCAGTCGGCTATGGGCGCTGCGCAGTGATAAGGCGAACCAGTGTTTCGTTAGGTACATTTACATGTATTCATTTAGCAGACGCTTTTATCCAAAGTGACATACAAATGAGGAACATAACGAGCTATTCGTCACAGAGCCAACAATGTTACTTGTTACTGCATGCGGAACAATTATCGAACAATCCGTTTTATAAAAGAATTCAAATTGATAGTGCCCAACAAACATGAGAGGTCGGCCCGACGTGCAGATCATGTCTATATTGCGTCGGTCGGTCGGTCCAGGACCGTATCTGTACGTCTAGTCGACGTGCAAATCCGGTGGTATCTGGACGTCTGACTACGACGTCCCTTGGACGTAGAAATGCAGTTCAAAATTTGAACGTCTGACTAGGAGTTTTTTTTGGACGTCTGTACAACGTGCAGAACAGGTTCAGGAAATCGACGTAAGAACTTTTTATACAAATAAACATGACAAAACAATCCTGTGAGTTCTGATTAAAAAAAAATTAAACATCACGTCTATTTTTTATGAAACATGTAGGTGTTAAAATAGTGTAGGGGACGTCATTTCAACGTCCGAAAAAGACGTTGAAATGGCGTCGTTTGGACGTACCTTTGCTCAGTGGGTGGGAACCTAAGGGATGTGCACCTAATTGAAGACATTACTTTACACAGTGCAGGTGCATCTCAATAAATTAGAATGTCGTGGAAAAGTTCATTTATTTCAGTAATTCAACTCAAATTGTGAAACTCGTGTATTAAATAAATTCAATGCACACAGACTGAAGTAGTTTAAGTCCTTGGTTCTTTTAATTGTGATGATTTTGGCTCACATTTAACAAAAACGGCCTGCTCAAAATTCAAGAAATAAACAAAAATGCAGTAGGCTATGCATGCTTGTAGGTTAAAATTAAATATGGATATAGACAAATGTTTAGTTTACTCGTTCTCTTACCTTGCCAAACGATTCAGTGCTTGGGAAAACAGGTGATTCAGACTGAACCTCCAAACGAATCGGATCGCTGCGCTTACTGTTTGACGCATTCATTGAAAAGAGCCGACTCAAAAGTGAACCGACTCATTTGACAGTCGGGTATCTCATAATAATGAGATAATAATAGTAATGTGGGCCATTGCTACTTGGTTAGAAAAAATAGCTCGCTACTGAAAACGCGACACTATTTGTAAAGTAGCGTTGGTAGGAGTCTACAGTATATTCCAAGAGGAAGGTCTCAGAAGTGCAATGCTGCCAAATGACCATAGCATGAGCATGAGCATCTCTGTCCTTACAATGCTCTTATGCAAACGTGTCATGTCCATTCAGACAATTTTTGAGCCAAGTGGACTTTAAATGCAACTTCTAAACAATGATTTCTAGCTTTGACAATTTCTTTAAAAGCTGTAGGTAAAAAGGTTGATTGTCTAAAATGTGGTGACAGATCATTCATAGTCCATATGCACTGACTTCTTGATACCTGTGGTTAGAAATTTGATGAGATAAAGGAAATTATCACAGTTTAACCATTCAGTCAAAATCTACCTATATGATATTTGTCTGGATGTATGTCAGACCAGTGTGGTTTAATTGCAATCATTGTTACCCAAAAAATATGAAAAAGCACTGCAATTCCTCAGATATTATTCTGACTTGAGAGGGTGTCAAACTAGATGTTTGAAAAAACACTAGAGAAAACAATCATTTGTGTAACTGGATATCTGAATCAAAACTGTTATATTACCTGTCTTGTGTGTGGACTTTTAAGTTTCTTCCTGTCTGGTGTGCCATATTTGAGTCAGTTTGTAATTATTATGTTAGGTGTGGATGTACTCAGTTCTGTCCCTTGTGGATTTTGTATTCTTATTTTATTATTAAAACCTACTATCTGCATTTCAATCCAACGCCCCCTTGTTTTTGAGTTTGCCCGTGCAAAAAAATAAAAAATAACAACAACCCTTAATCAGTAATAACTGAGATAAAGCTCTTCTGAAAACCATAGTTGTGTGACATGCAGAGATGTCGACCCTTGTTTACTGTATTATATAATTTTTCATTTATTATATAATATTATATCTTATAAACCAGGGCCAGATTTGAGGATCCCTGTTATAAACGAACAGTGACAAATTATTAGACATCTACACATCATGTCTCTGCGATTACATATCAGAGCATGTGAGCGAAGCGGAGCGGTGTGACGCTCCGCTACGTTTTCCGCTCTATGGACGTGCGCTCCACTCAGTCGCTCTAACCGCCCAAGCAAGCGCTCCGTTAATATTCCGTTCACGCTCACCGTAAACCAATTCCCGCTCAGATCCCGCTCCGTTCTGTAAAGAACAAATTTGCGTGCATTATATTAGATTATAAATTACTGCTGCCTATATCTAGCCTACATTCTGAAGGACTACCTATTGTTTCGGGTCAGTTTTTTTTTTTTTAAATATTTTAATTGGCCTAAGTGGTGTAGGCTAATATCTTCTGTACTCTGTAGTTCTGTATTTAGGCCTATATACAGCTGTGTGTTAGCTTAGGTCTACAGTTTAACTGAGATGATTTAATAACTACGGAGCTCCGAATATAATTCGATTTAACAATTCGTTTCTACGACGTCAGCAGGTTTTATTATTTTTCGCTCCGCTTATATGCTCACATACATATCAACGGATGTTAAAATACTTCATCTATGCCATCTTGAGAGTCAGAACAACTGCTGACAGATAAAAATGACCATGGACGACTTTATCTTACATTTTATATTTAAGTCTCCAGGTAAAGCAAGAAAATGAGAAACGTGGAGCTGGATGTAAGAGAACTTAAAATAAAGCAAGCATGTGTTTCATTATCTGTTATTGAGTGTACATTATCACTTATTGTTATACCAGTTATACACACTCTAAAAAAATGCTGGGTTAAATACAACCCAGTGCTGGGTGAAATATGGACAAACCCAGCAACAGGGTTGTTTTGACCCAGTGGTTGGGTTAAATGTTTAACCCAACCTTCTGGGTAGTAACAACCGCTGGGTCAAAACAACCCAATTGCTGGTTTTGTCCATATTTTACCCAGCACTGGGTTGTATTTAACCCAGCATTTTTTAGTGCAGCTACAGTTGTTTATAAAGACTTTTAATGGGCAGTCTGGACTTCTTTCCTCTGTTGTTTATATTTAAGCCCTACTGCCCAAAATAGGATTTTAAAGCTAATTCTTATCTCTCAGTCAAAACAAGTGCTTTACAAAAACACATAGGCTAGGGTACCTGTTGTGTATATGTTCATATTCAAGCAGTAGTCATGTTTTTAAGTGTTTTATTGCAAATTTTACAAATACTACAAATGGCTCACATAAGATGTAAAATGATAAATAATGTTTTCTAGCCAATGACTGGAAATCATCTTAGATGATCATTCTGGATTATCAATTCACATTTTCAAAGTGCAAGCGTTCACTTTTGCAATAAAAATAAAATTGCAGTTAAGTATAAAAAGCAATCTAGCATTTATCATAAAATACTGAACTTGTCCATTTGTAATGCATGCAGTCGGCATGTTCACTGTCAGATTGACATCAAGGACCTCGGGTCACAAAATACATTAGCTCCTATTTATGTTCACCTCATTTTATTCTTGAGCAGGGAAAGTTCACTTATTGTAAAGTTATCATGGTATTAAAGTTCTCCATGAACAGATTTCAAACAGACTCAGTCATGCTTCTCCTAATTATTAAGTGATTACCAGGGGAAAAAATTCATATCATTTGATCATTCCTATAGTCTCAACCAGAGAGATTGTCATTTGCAGTTTGCTAGAATATAACATCTGAAACATGACTGTGGGAATTTTGAGTTTACGCATATGTTAGTGTTAAGGGAAGTGTGCAAGCTCATTTTTTCATGGTCTATGCAGTTGTGAAGTTCTGAATTTTTTACCCTCAATAACCAAAAATGGAGTATTGCATTAAAGTAGGAGCAAAGTAGCCAGTATCTTGGCATACACTAGCCAGGTCCTGACCCACAATTCATCCTCACAACTCTGAGGTTCTTGCATAATGCTGGAGTGCATTTGTAATTAAAAATGTCACAGGCACAGCCTTGTGAAATGTAAACAATTCTCTGAATATCTTTTGTCTACAGAAGCCAGACTCCAAGTACTCCAAGCCCAGGTACTGTACATCACTGCGAAAACACTTATTGGGCAGAGAAAAGCCAGATCTGGCTTCTGACTGGTCAGAGTATCTGCCAATCAATAAAGTGCAAGGATATGCAGTCATTATTTGAACTAATGACCATGTTTATATGATCAAGGGCAACTTCCTTATTGGTCATGAGAGAACAGCGCCTGCTTCAGCGATACAATCTGTTAAATGGGGCATGTCAGCATTCACACTGAGGTTCCGAGGGACGTGTCTGGAGGACAGTCTTTGAGCAGCTTTGTTCTCCTTCCACTGCCATAAACTCATGGAATAGTCTTGTGCTGAGAGTCTCTCCATTTTCTGTGCTCTCACCAGGTCAGATGGACAGATAGCGTTACAAAAGGCACGAAACAGGATCCTGTGACACAGAAAGAGACGAGTTAATTACACTGTACCATCAAGAACTGCCTTTAAGACAAGATAAAACCATGAGTAACTGATCCCAATAAAGTTTGGCCAGTCGTTTTTTACCAGCCATCGTGGTAATGCCCATGGGCGTCTATTTTCTATGCAGGTAAAAGGCATACAAGTACAGATCCTATCTACTTGAATTGGGAACAGCTGAAAACTAGTTTGCATTTCAATAACAGTTCTCAAATAATGGTGTAATTAATGTTGCTTCTTTAGCTTAAATCACGCTATAAAATTTCATGCATGCAGGTTCTTGCCTTCACTGTGAAGGATATATGCAGCATTGCCTTAGAAATAGGAAAAACTAGGCATCTCAGAGGGAATCTTTGTGTCTTAAGGCTGAAATACATGACATGACTTTTGTCCAAATTTGCAGTCCAAAAGAGTCAACTAATTGCTGAAAGTCAGAGTTAGTCTGCAGACGGAGTTGACAGATTTCAGGGAGCCCTTAAAGGTTATCTTTTGTTGATATGTGCTTCTCATTAGAAGTATGGGAAGATGGTTGGCACATATTGCATTCCTGAATGCATGTTAAAGTGACCCGAACTCAGAGCATATGCAGAGATGGAGCTGCTCTGAGACACTACAAACACCGGCAGATCATGAGCTGCTTGTGTCTAAAAAAAAACATGAAACATGCAGAGCATATATTTATTTTAAGTGCATGATGCTCATATTTTTTCTGTAGCCATTTAAAAAGTCGACAAGTTTACGATGCCTAGTGTTTTAAAATCTGTTCAGATTTTAAAAGTCATGTAGTGTATTCCAGCCTTTAACATGCCATCTGGGTAGTCATTTCACTGGGTTTTGAAGCAGTGACTACATTTACATGCACCCTCATAATATGATTATAATGGGATTTTGGCAATATTGTGATTAACCTTTACTTCATGTAAACATAATACTTTGATCAAACTAATGCGATTAAGCTCATAATCATACTAACCATAATCACATTAGACTATACTGATTTTCATTGCAATAGGCATGTGAAGCATGTCCTTAATCGCGTTATTGCTGCGCTGACCAAAGTGAGCATGTGCTCGGATGTACATGGATGCTGTGTTGTTTACATCTTTTCATGAATGAACTCACTGACATTATTCTAAAGTTTTCCCTCCACTGCAAATTGCTAAACGAAACCGTGCAAAGAAAGCGGTGCAGGCGTAGGCAAACACAGTTACAGCTTGTGACATGTAAACATCTTAATAAAAATCACATTATTGGTGCACACGTAAAGATAGTCAGTGTCACAGTTTGTTACTGTGACTGGTATGTAAATGAGCTGATTCAGATATGTGTGTGTAATACCTAGGTAGCAGGGCCAGGACTGTGGTAAATCCACATACTAAATAGTAGAGCGGCTCAGACATCATTTTTGTCTCAATGCCATAGGGGTTTGTAG